TTTAAAATATTCAGTACCCTCTTTCCTCCCACCCCATTGGTGAGGAAATCAAAACAAAAGGCTGAGAACCCGTTGGTTGAAAAGTTTAGTTTTGATAGATCGCTTTCTTCTGGCCTTGTTCACTGAGCATGTGTGTTGGTGAAAACAAAGAAAATCGGGGGCTGGATTTGGGCGACCAGCCTCCTTCTGGAAGAAAAGGGGTAGGAGGAGTTTATTCGTGATCTCGTGTTTGTGTAGCTGTTAATAACAACTGCTTTGCTTTGCTATGATTCGACTTCAAGGCGCGTTAACGAAAGATGTTTTCGAAGGCCGAGAACACTTTTTATGGTAAAAACAGCGATAAAAGCGGAGTGGATTCTAGTGCAGAGTGACAAAGAAGTGATCTTTGGATCCTTTCAAGTAATAACAGTAGTGATGCTTACTGCCTATTTTCACTGTGCTCAGAACTCTCCCGAGAACACTTTTGACAAGGTGACTCATAATATGTCCGGGACTCAGGTGGCGTTTCCATCACCATGGACACCTGACCAGGTATGTCTACCTGCAATTCCAGGATCCTCAGCTATCCCAGGGGTTTGGGGCCTTCAGAAGGCGAGTCTTCCCAGTGAGAGCTTTAGTTCTTTGTTATTTTCATCGCCGTCGTGTGAAAATCCATGTGGGGTGGGGGAAGGGAAGAACGGGCGGCAGGAAATGGGTCTGGTTTTGTGACCACACGTGGCCTTAATCTTCATTCGGCTGCCTATGAAATGGGTGGGGAAAGTCACAGGCTTGCAGAGCTCGCTCATACATGTTGTGGGTGTGCAGGAGACGAATCCCAAAGAGATCTCCCAGGAGGCACGCAGCACCCTTCCCTGAGGGTGGGTGGGCGGGCACCTGGCCCTTTGGCACAGATGACAGCGTTTAGTCCAAGCGCTGACCTTTCACAAGTATTTTGAACGAACTTTTCTGGGTAGCCAAGCTTCCCAGGCTAAGTGGAGAGGGTGACAGGAAAGGAGGTGCCATCAAACGAAAAGAGAGTTTATTAAACATTAGCAAACAGAGGTGGCTGCTCAGTGCACTTTCAAGGAGAGATCGCTGGAAATTATTTCACAGCGCCTGCTCCACCCTTTCACATACCTGTCCCACAAACACAGCTCCTTCTCAAAGAGCTTAGATCTAATCAACTGTTCCCTCGCTCTTTCAAGCACCACGATATACAAGGGAGCAACGTTGCTTGAAAAATTAACACCTAGTACAAGAAATGAACACCCGATAACCGAACTCTCTGGTATCAGACTATAATTAATGAAGCCTCCATCCTGTCTTACAGGGACCTTGTTATTCACCAGAAAAAAATAATCCGTTAATGGAGGCACAGTGTTTTGTCACACCAAGACAGGATTTCACCAATTGGAGGCTAACTGTTCATTTTATGACCTGGTTTTTCTGTGGCGTTCTGCGGATCCTCTCACAGGGTCTAAATGTTGTTTTTCCCTGAAAGGATAAAGAATAATTAAATATAAGAGAGCAGGATTCTGCTCCCGACTTCTGATTCGCAGGTCAAGTTTTACCTATGATATTGTCTCAACTTTAACTCATCATTTTTGTTTTGAGAAAAGGTGTCCTCCAAGGCCACCAGTCTTCCTGGACCTCACTAGAGGGTAGAAAGGCTTCCGAACCCTCTAGAATTGTTCTTTCTCTTCCTTCTAGAGAGCTTCTGTAAGTAGTTTGTAATAGATATTTTTACACTCATTTGAATCCAAAGCACCCTGTGCAACCACATTATACAAAAATTCAGAAACACCCAGGAGGAAATCTTCAGGCACATGACAATATGTCAAATGCCAGGGACAAGTCAGGACAAATTTTAAAACCTGCTCAGTCCTTCTGAAGTTGGTCTGAAACCTGTTTGTTTCTCTCTCTCTACGATGTGATTATATGGCATATATGCCTTGTGCTGCTGGACGAGTGAGTGTGTGTGTGTGTGTGTGTGCGTGCGCACACACACACACATGAACACACACGCAAAAGCACACACTTGCCCAGCAGCACAGGATTTCACGAGCTCTAAGAATTAAAAATTAAATGACATTTCATTCCTTAGAAGGGAAGTCCCCTAGCTTATGTGTGAAAGGGGAAAAAATGCCTTTAAAGTGCATTAAGACTATTTTTTTTTTTTTACTAACTTGATCTGAATTAAAGCAAAAATCACACTTGTGCTCAGGTCTGTGAACGACGCATTTCAAGTCTCAGCAGAAGCCCTCCTATGATGCAATTCGCTCCTTAGATGAAGCTTTGAACCGCATTTCTTCCTCCGCCACCTGTCGGGGTGAGGGTGGCGATGTGGCGCCGGACCCCCCTTCCTTATCAGGTACAGTAGGGCTTCGGCAGCGAGACTGCTGGAGTTCAAATTCTGACCTTGCCCTCTCCCTGAGAATCTTGATTCTCTCCCTGAGAATCTTGGGTATGCTTCTGACCCTTTCTGTGCCTCAGGGGCCTCATTGGTAAACAACCACTCCAGGTTCTGGGCATTAAGTGAGGTGATATCTAGGATATATGACGATGAGGCAAGTTCCAGGTGTAGAGTTGAGGTTTCATACATGTGAGCTATTGTCATCCGCCAGTTTTCATTTGCCTGGGAGAACTATAGCAAAGGAAAAGTGACCCGATCCGATTAAAACGTAAGTTCCCTACTCAAAAGCAGCTCACGTGGCATTTCTTCTAGGCAGGCGCCCTGGACCCGCTCAAGGAGAAGGACTCTGCTCTGCCTCTTGTGCCCGCGGCACACGGTACCCACAGAGCCTCTGCTGTGCCTTTTATCCGCTGCCCTCTGTGAGTCTGGGAGCGTGGGCCAGGGTGCATCCCCGAGATGCCGACTGTGCCTGCTGCCTTCCTCACCCCCACCCCCAGCGCCAGGCACACAGAGCTTCCACTCTCATGAGTTAAGCCGAGCAGGTAAACAAAGGCAGAGCCCTGCCTGGACTGCACCATTGGCTAAAATCCCAGAGATGCGGCGAAGCGGGCACGGGTCCTCGGTCTGGCCAACTGCACGCTTCTCTCCAGGACAAGTTTCCTGCTGGGGGCCATGCTCTTCTAAGGACAGTCCACGACCAGAGGCGGGCAGGACTTTTGTCTTTTTCACCTGGAACCTCCTGGGGTGTTTTCCAGTAGATGGTCACTCTATCTGCCTCGGACATTAAACATTACAAATAACCAGTACGGATCTGCTACTTTCTTTTTGTTACAGTAAAAAGAAAAATAAATAGAAAAAAAAAATAGTAAAAAGAAAAAAGAAAATAAATTGTCACCTGCCACGAAGATCATAAAAAGAAATATCGGTCGGAAGCAGGAGTGGGAATTCTCAAATAACAACCCCAAAAAGGAATTCCAGCTTCTAGTATAGACATGATTTAAATTTTCATGAAGAAATCAGCTGGTTTGCACAAAGGCAGGGGTGATGGGAAAAAAAAAAAGTAATAAACCATGGGTGGAGGTGAGGACCGTGACCCAACAGGGTCCCCCGGAGGACCCCTCTGACCGGGCTCCGGTGTGCGTTCCTTGTCACAGAGAGCACCTCCTGCCCTGGGCTAATTATCTTTTAAAATTCATATCTTGAGCCACAGTCCTCCTCGTGGGATTAAGCACAGTACGCTTTGCAAATTGAAAATAAGATAGCTGTTAGGAATATATACTTGCCTCTATGATTACCGCAGCAAACAAAGGCAAAACATTAATTTACATCTATTATAATAGAGAAACAAAGCCAGAGATATGCCTCGTATCTCAGGCAGGAGATGAGTTTGCAAAGGTGACGTTCCTGGAAGATGAGGTAGGTGACGGGCTGCAGAAGTGAGGGCTGGAGGGGTGGCGTGGCATCCACCTGCTCCTCCGTGAGCCATCGCATCTCCCCAGCTCACTTCACAGACAAGGAGAGGGGTCCAGAAAGGGGAGAGAGGCATCATTTCTAGCCAGGAGGTTAGGAGCAGAGAGAGCATGGTCCGTCCTAAATCCACGCTTGAGTTTCTACGAAGATGGTGGCCGGAGATGTTTTTGTAATCAAGCCTGTTATGGTCATCTCAAAACTCCTACAAAAATGTGTTTTTTTTACAAAGTGGAGACTAGATCCTAAGCCCCACCGGACAGAGGAGAACACAGAGGGTCACAGTGGCTCATGCGATCTAGCCTTTCTTGGGTGTGTGACGTGTGTGAGGCACTGTACCCGCTGTAATGGGTCCTTTATTATGTTTCCCATTTCACAGAGGAAGAAATTGGCACGTGCGAGGTCAAGGCACCTGCCCGAAGTCACCCAGCCAGAACTTCGCGCTCAGCCTGTACCACGACCACTTTGGCCTGGAAACAGGCTATTTGGAGCCCCCGTGCCATGCTCATGCCCACCTCCCTGGCAGGGCTTGTCCAGCCTTTCAGCTTGAGTGATCCTTGTCAAGGTCAAGTCACCTTGTCTCAGAGTCTCTCCAACCAACAGGGAGGGGCTGAGCTTTCATATCTGTGTCTGCCCTATCGCACCTCACGAACTCCCCTCATGGTATGGGGCACACAGTGCCAGCCAACATCAAATCACCCACGGAGCTGGGAGCCCTGGAGGTCAGAGACTCCTCGTGCTCTCAGAGGCTCCTTGCCTGCCCTTGGTGGAGACGCCGGGGTGAGTGCAGCTCCCTCTCTGCCCACTGCACGGAGGCTTTCTCCTTTTCTGCTGAATCGGGGTGTGACTCCCGTAGCTCATCACCCAGACTTTTTCCATCATCCCCTGCACCCATGTACCCTCCCGTCTCACATGCACTGGACGCTGGCTCCCCGAGCACAACCCTCTGATCAGACAATGGCTGGTCCATTGACATTATCCCTTTCAGCGGAGACTTAAAAGAGGTTGGAGGAAAAAGGAGCTGCATCAAGATATTTACGAGGTTTCGAAGCCTGGCTTACGGCGGGTCTCGCGATGCGGCACTTTGGTTAGGACTGGGGGAAGAACGGGTCCCGATGTCACAGTTCAGGATTGGCGGACACAGCACGGGGAAGGCTCTGAAGTGTCATGGGCGTAAACTATGATTCAACAGTAGAGGAGTGTGATGTTCTTTAATATGGCTTTTCCAGGAAGTTTCTGATAATGAAGATATTTATAACTATTTTCTTCCTGGGCAAGGATCTTCTGGAATAGTAAAGTCTCATTAATGTAGCTGGTAGACTGTGTGGGACTGATGGTTTCAACTGTCACACGTGTGGTCTCATGTCACCACCTCATATTGGATTCCATAGAGAGGCCACCCCTCTGGCACTTCCAAGCCACCCAAAGGACACTGGGCTTAAAGGGGTAAAGAAAAACCTAGATTCTGGCCTCAACACTGTTTCTCTCTCATTCTGAGACCTTGATGAATCACTGGCCCTCTCTGGCCCTCCGTTTTTCCCTCCGTCCAACGGGGCTTTGGGGTAAGTCTTCACTCCATCCCACGACTCTATGACTAAGTTTATGTGCCTGAAGTTGAGGCTTTGGGTAGTGAAATGACTTCCTAACGGAGACAGGAAAGAGGAGGCGGGGAGGGCATTAGAGAGAGCAGGGGGAAGTGGGGAGACAGAAGGGGCAGCTGTGGAAGGCTCCAGAACAGCAAGGTTCCTTTATTCAGGTCTGGGGTTTTTAAGTGTTTTATCTCGTAGAAATGCATACGGCATTTACAAATTGGAAATAACTCTGTAAACTCAGATAAGATGGTCCCACTAATATTGTCGCCAGAAACAGCTCACCATGGCTTCTTTTCAATTAACCATTTAAATCACAGCCCATACAAACCCCAACCCCTGCTGCCTTAGAATAAAAAAGAAAGTTAGACCAGAGACGACGCGTTTTGATTCATGCTGCTGAATGTGGAAAATACACAAGCTTTTTTCTTGGAGCCTATAGTCTAATGTAGCTCTTTGAAAGAACATTCCTTCAGCTGCTGGCAGAGATATCCGCCACCCCCCTTCCTCCAGAGCTGAATGGTGATTCATTATAGATAACCCCTCCTGATTAATGTTGTTTTGACTTTAACTTTGACATTAAAAAAAAAAAATAAAAGCTGTAATCGGTAAAATTCTCCCCTCTAACGTTCACCACTCGGCTATTTTTAGCTGGCTTTGGTGTTTGCTGCAGAAGAGGGAAAAAAAATCTAAATTTAGAAAGAAATTAAATTGTTGATTGTCATCAAAAGTCCTGGCTGTCGGATGAGAAAGTCATCGTGTCAGACCCTTCGCGATGAATAATAAATCAGCGATTTCCTTGAAATTCTTATTTGAGTTCTTTCCTTTCTGTCAACTGCGAGCGTCAGGAGATCTGTTGGTTAGCCAGGCACAAACTGGGTCATGCGCACAAAGCCTTCGAGATGTGCAGCTCCTGATGTGCAGGGAGGGGGTCTATACAGCCTGGCCCCACGAAGAGATGGGAATTATCTGGTTGCCCGGATCGACCGGGGTGGTGTGGTCCAGCTCCACCATGAGAGGCAAACAAGGCTGGGGCTGAAATCCTACAAAGTTCTTCTGTTTCTACGGGCCCCAGTTTTCAGGTCTACAGAATGGTTAGAGAAATGCGTGTTACACGGAGATGCCAAAGGATGACGGATAACGAGTGGGAATCGTGAGCGCAGCATGCGACACACGTACATGCCCAGGATGTGGCAGCAGTTATCACAATTATAGTAATGACTGGTCATAGTGGAGACCGCTCCAGAAAGTTAGCATCCTCAGGGAAGCCACAGGGAAGACTGAGAGTGACTTTCTTTGTCCAGTTTGGATCAGACTTAATGGCTAAGCGGACTTCTCTGTCCATTCACTAAGCCGTGTAGACACAGGCTGAGATCAGGGCCTTCTCTCCCTTTTGTGACGTAAGGCAGAGCTGTGTTCTCAATAATTCTCAAGTGTCATGACTAGTGCTCAAGATCGCAATGAAAAGTTGAAATCAGACCCATCGAGGAACAATGAAATGATTGACATGATACTAAGTGTGACTCTTGGCCACTTAAAACGAGGCAGAGGCTTTTCCCATGAGTCTCTGTATACCATGTCCCCCACGTCTTTGTCCCTTGTCCTCAGACGCATGCACGTGCCATAAGAATCTCACCCTCTCTGAAGTCCTGTGGAGAATAAGAAGCCAGGACGAAACTACAGAGTGGACCATTTTTGGCAGTGCATTGTGGGAAGAAGCAAAGGATGGCAGGGAAAGGAAGGAGGAAGGGAGGGGGAAGGGGGGGAGGGAGGGAGGGAGGGAAGGTGCAATGCACTTTATAGCATAAGGCATTTCACAAGTTTAGAGCATTGTGTTGCTTTTAAATCACGGAAAGCAAGGCTTTACTACTCTGTGTACAGCAAGACTGCGCACACAGAACTACCTAATAAACATCGCTGATGCATTCCAAGGGGATTTTGAATTTAAGTTTGGATAACGATGGTAATTTTGTCGTTATAAGCAGCCTTGCTTCTGCGTAATGCAGAGGCAGTGTTATCTATATTAGTTTCCCTCAGGCACATGACAAAGTTTCATTAATTCAAATTTAATAAATAACAGGTAGAGCTAAGAGTCGATGGATTCTCAGCCTAACCATCCTCTCTTTGCCCGAGAAATGTCCAAAACTACGGTCCCCTGCTCTGCCCTCAAGCCGAGCCTCCCTTGCCATCGTGGGTTCCCAGCCTAGAAACATCCTAGGGAGGAAGGACCCAGAAATCCTTTCGTACAGTGACCTGTGACTTTAGCCACTGTGGGACCCTTACTTCAAGTGAACCACCCCAGGAACCCTGGCAGGGGACAGAGCTCAGTCTTCTTTGGCTCACAGAAGTTCCCCGAGGACCATCTTCTCAAGGTGAGGTTCTTGCGAAACTATCTGG